TAGTCCATTATTATTATTATGGGTAAGATCCAATAACATTTATCAAATACCCTCCTGGATATGAGGTGATTGAAAAGTTGGCCTCTAGTTAAGGAAGTCGTATTATACAAAATTTGAAAAAAACTAAAAAAAAAAAAACTAAAAAAAAAAACGAAATATATTTTCCCATGATGCAAGTTGTAAAGAAACCGGAAATGTTTTTTTTTTTCTTTTTGTTACATGCGCGATTTTACGACCCGACTTCGGGAAAGGACAGAATCTTTCTTTTTTCATTTTCCAACCTGATTGTTGGGACATTTTTTTAAGCGTTTCACCCCAAGCAAGTCGGGAAGCCACTAGCTCGCAAGGGGTTACAGAGAGTTGGAGCGAGAGGAAATAGGAGTGATAGAGGAAAAGATTAAGGATATGGGATAGATCAAGGCATCTGGAAACGTTGATTGATATTACATTTGAATAGCTGGAGATTATAGCTATCAGGGAAACAGGAAAAGGGGAGGGAGTTCCACAGGCGAGAAGTGCGAGACATGAAGCTATTGGAGTAGAAGAGACGGCTACATTTAACAGTTTCGACAGTGAAAGGATGAGAGCGAGATGCCAGCCTAGTTGAGCGCTTAAATTCATGAAGTCTGGGAACCAGCGAATGCAGCTCATCGGATCAGTTACCATGAAAGAATTGTTCTCTTAACATAGTTCTTAATCAAAATTAAACAGACATCTCGAAAAGATATTAAGAATTCTGTTCCATTACAGTCAACCTAAAATAAATAAACGTCCGTAGTACAAAATGAAGTTTTTTGTCTGCTTTTATCTTTTTTGATTGCTTTTGTTTTTGTAAACGAACGTTCATTTAAAAGATAAAAAAAAGTACAACCGGTTAATGATATAGATATAAATAAACCAGTCACGGGAGACCACAGAGCTGTAATCAGAGAGACCTATAGCTGGAATTATGAGTTTCAAGTCAAAACCACAATTGTTAAGCAATTATTAGGATGATGATCATCTAATGATTGCGGTCTTAATTATTTCACCTGAAGCAAGGCGCTGAAACTACTTAGATGCAAGACCCTCATTGACAGTGAAAGGAAATAAAGAATTGTTATTAAACAGAAAATCAATAATTGAAGCAAGTATGAACCCCAGAATAATGATTATAGGTCCTGTCTCTTGTGGTTGTTGATATATATTTTTAGAATTTAAAAGAAATTAATAAAACTCCTTATCTTAAAATGGAAAATATTAAAAAAGACGAGAATATATAAAAGCTTAAATGATCCATGTCCCTTGTTTTTACATGAAAAGCTGAATATTATAAAGTTTCCTAAAAATCAACTTCTCCTAAATCAGAGAAATGAATTAACAGTAATTTTTATGCATAGTATAATATTTACTTTAAAATATAGTTAGAAATTTTCATAAAAAATCTACGCATTATAATGACATATCCATTATTTTATTAATATATAATGATCCACATAACTTTAATATTGCCTTGTTTTTATGGTCCATTCAGTATAATAAGTATCGTATTTTGGGTTTAAAATATATATAAAAATGTTTTAATTTGTCTAGAGGCCCCTTTAAATATAGTACTATGTCTACTTCACTGTATCTAAAGCTTATATTTGTAACAAGATCTGTAGTCGACATGATTAATGTGTCAATTTATTTAGTCATGAATTAATAACCTACCTACCCCTGCATTCTTAGCTTAATTTTCATTTTTTATTTTATTTTAGATTTGATCCGTGTTTTGATTGGTCAACCAAGACATGCCCACAAATGTGATTTTTTTTAATTTTGGAATTTTGGTTTCCATGCCTCTCCTTTTTAAACTCTCAAATAAGGTACGGAATTGTTTTCTGATTTGCCAAGTAAATCATTTTCATCATTAATTATCTAACATCGCCTGATGAGGGACAAATTCAAAGTTCCGAAACATGGTAATTTTTGTGTAGTGATGTAAAATAAAAATATTATAATATATATATATATATATATATATAAATGACATCCAAACAATTCATCTCATACAGATGATCAATGCATTGATAAGTCCAGGAGAAAAGTACTTTCTCATGCACGAAATGATCATCTAAATTGTTTGGATCTGATTAATTCTAATTCACAAATATGCTCTCTAATATATATATATATATATATATATATATATATATATATATATATATATATATATACAGAGCTCAAATTTATGAATCAATTTTAATATTTTATATTACTTACAAACGGATTTTTAAATATTTTATATTACTTACCCATATATTTTTACATATATATATATATATATATATATATATATATATATATATATGTTTATATATATATATATTTATAAATTAATTGATTTAAAATATGTTTTTTTCGCTACAAATTTACATTGAGCACTATTTTGTAAAAAATAAAAATATCTATAAGAACACAGAATTATATATTATGTTCTTTTTTTGATGATATATATATATATATATATATATATATATATATATATATATATATATATATATATGTATGTATGTTCCTGAAAAATTATTTTTCGGTCAAGTTCTCTGGGGAAGGAGTGTGACTATTACTGCTGCTAATGAAATACTCTTTGATAAAACGAATTGAGTTCTCTCAATCACCAGCGTGTTCATCTAAAAATAAATTCGCTTAAAATTCACCTTCATCCCTGCCCTTCGGTAATGGCAAAATGTATAATTTATTAGAATGGGTTTATTAATCCGACAGATTTGTATCATTTTAAACATTATTATTAATGGATGCACGTATTTGAGTAGACGCTCCGTTTACTTATTAAACAGTATATTTATTTATATTCACTTATATACCAAATTCCTTTTGTTTACGCTTTGATATGAAACTGTGTGCAAACATTAAAAACTTCGAAGCAATTGAATATAGGTAAAAATTAACCCAAATCGTTTGGGGAAATAATCACCAGATTTTCTATACGTCCTTAGATTTCATCAAAAAGAAATTGGAAGGACATTACAAAAACTGAATATAAAATTTTACAAATCTTTCCTTCCGGTCACATCAAATCAAACATGTATAAAAGTAGATATCTAATATAGATGTTCTTAACCAATCCAAATTTAAATATAGATATCTAAATATAGATGTTCTTAACCAATCCAAATTTATAAATAATTATATTGGATATACCACAACATGTATAACAAGAAGAGTCACGTTACATTTCTCTGACCATATCTCTGTTTGGTATCATTTAAATACACATGGAGACCTACTAAACTCTATCCGTAGCATATTCGTTGATAATGAAAATATAATAGTTTCATCGACATGTAAAAAAAAAGGTTAACAATTATGGAAGCATTATTAATAAAAAGGAAAATCCCAACACTGAACTATGAACACGGCCACAATGTGGTGACCGTGTTTGGAAAATAAAACAATTCTATAACTCTAGATACATACATAAAACAATGCATATATTCAGTTAAAATAAAAATAAAATAAAATTCATCGGTAATACTTGCTAATCGTATAGCCGAAGGCGCTTGTAAAACATTCAGATAATTTTTATGTAATTTATTTCCAGAAAAGAAAAAAAAAATAACGGAGTTATAAATAATATAAGAAAACATGAGAAATTATATGAAAAATCTCAACCACAGCAACTTGTTAGTCGTTTTCAACGGAACTTGCGCACACACACACACACACACACACACACACACACACACACACACACACACACACACACACATATATATATATATATATATATATTTACATACGCTCTATCTCTGATATTGAGCACTTTATCTCATAAATCTAGCATACCTTAAAACTATATTTCTTCATATATATATATATATATATATATATATATATATTACAAAAACCTAAAATTACCTCAACATGGGATATGTTGAGGTAATTTTTGTTCTTTTTTTTTGCTTTAAAAATACCTATACTCTGTTATAATAAATATATCGAACTCTCTGTGGATCAGTTTTATTAATCAATATTACTAGGATCCACCCGTATTATATACCAACGGATCGAATATATATATATATATATATATATATATATATATATATGATCTGTATATGAAAATGTTCCTTATAGCCACAAATTGTACCTAGTTGGGAATTGTTGTTTCAGTTAAGCATACGAAATAGCTATAGAACTGTTTCTTGAGTAACGAATATACGTTATTTCTCTTGAGACTAACGATTTCTTCTTGTTCTATGCTTGGTATAAAGCAGTACTTCGAATGTTGATTTTACAGGCCAAAAATCATACACAATTCAGCTTCACAAAAGTTACGGTTAGAAAATCTTTATCATAGATTTTTAAAAAAAGAAATCCTGAGTTGTTTTTAGCATTGTTCAATTTAGACAGAATGAAATAGGAAACTTCCTTTCTTGTTTCAAAGGACACAAGACAAAAGTATCTATATTCAAGTTCCATTCTGAATTGCATTCTCTCCGTTTCAAACACGCCACATATCCTCCCCACGCCTTGAGCACTAAAACTCCGTTCTTTGCTTGCAGACGTTTTGCAGAGGGCATTTGGTCGCCTTGCACATCTTATTCTCCCGGCTTTCACGTTTCTTCTTCCAAGGTATTATTTTAGGTACACAACTGCTAAATCAAGACAGATGTATCAAGAAACGATAATTTTTTTTTTATCTGCTTTTTAAATCTCTATGGCTTTCTTGTCAGTGTTTCTCTCGTTTCTCATCTCTTTCTTTTACCAAAGTCCTTCCTGAGCTTTTCTGCCAAAAGTACAAAGAACGGAGACGTTCTATGAAGTCATCGATTGAGCAATCGATACATTGATATATATGACGGTCAGATTATCGATCTTCTTGCTTATATAATTTTTAATGTTTACCTGTCTGCCGATCTAAAACCATGAGTATCTCGGAAGCTATTTGTGGCGATATTAGCGATTCATCCGGCTGTATGTATGTGTGTATGTATGTATGTATGTATGTATGTATGTCTCTCTCTCTCTCTCAAACTATCTATCTATCTATCTATCTATCTATCTATCTATCTATCTATCTATCTATCTATTCTTTTCTATCTATCCATCCCTTGCTGTTCATTGTACATCGAACTATACACATCTATCTATCTATCTATCTATCTATCTATCTATCTATCTATCTGATTTTGTTTATATATATATGTATGTATGTATCATACTGTCTACCTGATTATCTAATTATTTTCCATTCTATCTCTCTCTGTATCTATCTCAATCTGCTCATATCTATCTATCTATCTATCTATCTATCTATCTATCTATCTATCTATCTATCTATCTATCTGTCTATATATATATATATATATATATATACATATATATAAATACATTCTGTTCATATCTATCTATCACATTCTTTTCATTAAATATCTATTTAACTATTCACATCTATCACTATTCACTATGTATGTATCTAAATTGGATTGATAGATAGATAGATAGATAGATAGATAGATAGATAGATAGATAGATAGATGTGGACATAAGAATCAATATTGCATGGTAACTGTACAATGTATCACTACTCATTGTCTGACGTTTATTTTGTTTAAGAATTATTTTATATCTTATTTCTAAATTTTATCAAAGGAAACAAAGTCATGGGATACTATTTACTTTTTTCATCGTCATGATGTTGAAGATATAGGCAGTATATATATATATATATATATATATATATATATATATATATATATATATATATGCATTATATATATATATATCTGTACTAAGTTTTATATATATATATATACATATATGCATATATATATAAATTCATACATGCACACACACACACAAAAACATATATATATAAATATATATCAGACCAAAACAACAATGAAAACATGCAATTGTGAATCTACGAACACAAAACGTGACGAGTGACAAAGGAAAACAGAAAAAAGAAATGAAGAACCAATAAATAAAGAAATCAATACAAAACACGAGTATAAACGGGAATAAACGAGAATAAACGAGACATAAACTGAAAAGAAAAGACGAAAGGCAAACATCTAAGAAAATATATTGTTGATTGTTCAATGTCCAAACGACCAACACAAATACGCTAATAACTAGCGACATCTCTAAAAAAGGTCAAAGTTCAGATGGCTAATCATTTTTCTTTTTGCTGCCATTGTCAGGTGACCACAACGCCTTACGTTTCGTGTGTATATATATATATATATATATATATATATATATATATATAAGGTTCTCGGGTTACGTCGGACCTGGCGTACGGCGTTTCGTGGTTACGGCGCCATCTCCCATAATGCAATACGTCGTCACACGGCGCTATATGAGATAGACGGCGTTGTTTCTTCAACGGTTGTACGCCATATTGTATATGGCTCCCAGGCGTAAGGTAAACTCGTGGGTGCTTATGTAGTGCGTTCAGACCTACCTCGAAAAGTAGGAACGGATCTTCGGCGCGACGTAAATCGAGGATTTATATATATATGATACATGCACGCACATACACACACACATATATATATATATATATATATATATATATATATATATATATATATATATATATATGTATTTAGACAGCATTTTTTCATTGATACATGTTTCATTAAATTATATAGTCATGTATTCTCCATTTTTTTAATGTAAATTTTTTCATATCGTCTGATAAGCTTAATAACATTATCATTAAACAAAGAAAGAAAATCACAATATTGATGCATATTTTTTAATCCTATACAAGCTTTCGGCTTACATGAGCCATTATCAAAGATGACAATTGCATTACAATATATTAAGCAATACACGGACAAGACAGTGATGATAGTCTGCTTTTGTTTACATGGAAGATTTCTAAGCAACGGGTATAAACACAGCTATAATTAAGCATGAAAACAATAAACAAAAACTAAAAGTTCTTGAAGTTATATACATAAAACAGTTGAAACCTAATCTGAACAAAATAAACTACAAAATCTCCACAAATATTCTTAAATGCCTATAATTGATAACAGAAGCCATTGGTTTATACCAACGACTTCCCATACTTAATACTTCTCGTTTTCATTCAATCTCGTGTGGTCATGTGTGACGCCATGAGCTGCGGTGCGATTTTCGCAACCAGCGTCTAATATGCACAAGTTTGTCGTTGCTTGGAAATCTTCTATGCAAACAGAAACCCTTGTCTATACTATTTAATGAAACATGTATCAATATATATATATATATATATATATATATATATATATATATATATATATAATAAGATATATATAATAAGATATATATATATATATATAAGATAAAAATGTTAAAAAATGTAGTTTTAATGCATGCTATATTTATGGTTTACACTGCGCAATAAATAAAGGTCAAAGTGACCCTTGAATTCAAAACATGGCCTGACAATCGTGTTTAAGCGTGAAACAGACTGTTGCCTCTGGGTGTTGACATCAGTGGCCACTTCTATATTTATATATGCAAATATATATTGCATTTCATTATTTTATTTTATTTTATTGCAAACCAGTTGCATCCTACCTGTAAAATTAAAATATAATTTGCGTGTATATAACAATTATTGGCCCTGAGATTTATCCATTAGTGCAAAAAAAAATCAAAACGTCTAATCTGATTCTTAGAAATTATTCAACACCTCAGAATCAACCAGATGTATAAATAATGTTTATGACTTCACATCGCCAACACTAACAATCTGATATATATATATATATAGTTGATATTTCTATTACAAAATGAAAAGAATGGATTTCATGATTAAATTTTACTCTCGTCAAAATATCCTCATTTAGTCTTGATTACTGCAGTACAAATATTTGCCATTGGTTGCAAAAGTTACTCAATGTATAAAATGGTATAATTGATTCCATTCTTATTCAATTACACTGAGAGATCTTTCATCTTTCATTTTTTATTTTTTTTTTTACTCTTCTTTCAAGTCCATCCTATGCTAATTCTGGGGGTGGCTTCAAAATTTTGAACTGTTGTATATATATATATATATATATATATATATATATATATATATATTTAAAGACATTTTATGTTTAACGTTCTTTTTTATAGATACAAGTATTTAAGTAAATGCTCTGTTTATAATAAACAATAATAAATAACATTTACCGGCCTGAATGTCCGAGAAATTTTCATACAAAATATTCGTCCTTTGACAGGATTCGAACCTGCATCCTATACGGAACCGTCATTTACGCTGACGTGCCTTAAATTGTCGGACTTTGTCTATTTCTTTATATATATATATATATATATATATATATATAGTGAACATTAAGTCAACACTCAGAAGCGACAGGCTATTTCATAGACGCAATCATCAGGAGGCCTGACAATTGCGTCTAACATGAAACAGCCTGTCGCCCTGAGTGTTGACTTCAATGTTCACTGTTATATTTATAGTTACATACGCTCTATCTCTGATATTGAGAACTTTATCGCATAAATATAGGACACCTTAAAACTACATTTCTTTATAAATTGAGGTTTAGTTCTTTCTTCAAAATTTTCAAGAATGCCAACACCCCTTAAAAAAATTGAATTCTCTTCCAACCACCAACTTAAAACTATACAATATTTATCTTATATAAAAAAGAGTAAATCATATTTTCAAACATTATTTAGCATCGCCTGAAAATAAAACTAAATATTAAATTTTAAGTTTAATTTAAGATTTAGATTTAGGTAATTTCTGTGTCGTGAGGAATATATATTTTTAAATAATAATTATATTATGTTCTACTGTGTATCAGCCACGGTTTTTAAAGTAAATGATAAAGAACAAAGGATAATAAATCGGATTACACTTTATTTTGATATATGTGTATTGAACTGTAGTGTGCGTATATATATATATATATATATATATATATATATATATATATATATATATATATATATATTTCAGAAGATATAAAACATGATATTCAGCAAGCGAATCAAATTGGGGATTCCAAAAACAGAATAAGTTCAATAATTTAAACATGTAGAATATATGTCAGCAGAGAAGTGTCGCAATAAAACATGTAGGAGTATTGGGAAAGCCAACGATGCCTCCTAAAAGCTAAGCAATGTATTAAGAAACAGAAAAACTTTGTTAGAAACAGAAAGGTGTACTAAAATGTTACGTAATATCAGTCTTCCGATATGGCAGTGAATGCTGTTCAATCTCCTCACAGATGAAAAAGAGACTTGAAGAAACAGAAATGTGATTTTACAGAAAGATTCTGAGAATAATATGGTACCAACCATGTAAGCAGCGACGAAGATTTAGAGAAAATAGAAACAAAAGCGCTACAAAGAACTAATTGATATTTTAAGGGTATATAAGTAAGTAAGTGTCTTAGAAAACTTGATTCTCACAGGTCAAATTGAATATGAGAACGGAAAAGAAGCGGTTAAACTTAGTGAGCTTAAATGTATGGATGGCGAAACCATTACATTTGTCGTTATCTACATTCATTCACTCAATCCCTTTCTGTAAATTATACACTCTTTCCATTTTGTTTCTTGCCAATTTTTCCCAGCGTCGTTTCTATAAATATTTTCATGATAGTTTTTCTGGTCGATTTTTCGTCTTTGGGACCTCAATGTTGAAACTTTAAGCGACATAATAGATTGACTTTTAGGTCTTCTCCTTTTACAGTTGGAATTACTAGATGTAACCGTAGGTTCCTTGTGGAACTTTCTTCGGTTTCTTTCTTTCCAGTCAACTTTGATCTTCAATAGTGTACACCCTTGTGCAAATTAATTGAAACAACCGCTTTAGTTTCCTTTCTTTTAAAACACGGTCAGTATTAAATCCACTGAAATGACAGGTTTTTATCGATTTCTGTTTTTTCCCCAGATTATGTCATTTGCAGGGGCGAGCTGCAATATAAAACTATTTTAGGGGAGCATGATGAAAATATGTTTAGCGTTGAAAAATGTTGCGTCATCCGTGATTGCATCTGATATTTATCACGCCCAGTCACTATTGTCTTTTCTGTCGATTAGTTGTCCTACGACCATTGTCTGCGATGGACGTTACTCCAAGGAAGCTTACAAAAATTGTATCGCTGCCCGAACACACTGGCAAGCCTTACCAATGAGCAAATCAAAGTACTATAGAGTGACGCGGAAACTCTCCTGATTTTTAATCCAGTCGTGAATCTGTGGTCAATCTGCAAGTAACGACTTCGTGGAATTGGCATACTAAGTACTAACATGTGCACTGGTTCATGTTTTATTGGAAAAATACGAAAAAAAGTAAATGTTAACGGAGTTATTCGTTTTGTTTCAATTAATTTGCAGAAGGTTGTTGGTTGATCATGGCTCTCTACATCTTCATGTACAATTAATTTTCAAAAGGGTGTAGGTTATGCTCGGATTTCCACGTTCCCTTTTGCCTTCAGTTCGCCTCGAGTGTTTCAAATTTTCCAAGCACTCTTTCCTCGTCATGTGCTCAAGAAATATCAACTCTCACTCTCTCTCTCTCTTTCTTTCTTTCTTTCTTTCTCTCTCTCTCTTTCTCTCTTTCGCTCTCTCTCTCTTTCTCTCCCTCTTCCGTTCTTTCTCTCTTTCTTTCTCTCCCTCTTTCTGTGTCTCTCTTTCTCTTTCTTTCTCTCCCTCTTTCTGTGTCTCTCTTTCTCTTTCTTTCTCTCTCTTTCTTTCTTTCTTTCTCTCTCTCTCTCTTTCTCTCTTTCTTTCTCTCTCTTTCTCTCTCTCCCTCTTTCTTTCTTTCTTTCTTTCTTTATGGTGTTAAATATAAGTGTCTTTGTTGTTCTCTATTTACTCAAAACCTACGCAATTGATGTAAAATCTTTATTGTAATTCTGCTTTCGCCTCCCTTCATTAATTAATAAATTCCTTGATTAGTACGCACGACCGTTACGCTATGCCAATAACTCATAAATAATGAAACTAATCCGTTTTGGACCGCGTGAAAACACGGAGCCAAAATATCAGAGACGCACTAAGCGTACGAAAATTGTAACGCTGCCCGAACACACTGCCAAGCCTTACCAGTGAGCAAATCAAAGTTCTGTTGACCTGCCCGGAAACTTTCCTGATTTAAATCCAGGTCGCCAAGTTGTTATAGAGTAGTTTCACAGTAGAGGCTTGTATTTGTACTAAGTCGGTCCTAAAATAGGTTCGACGTACAAAACGTTAGGAACTTGATATAACAGTTAATGACGCAGCAATCTAGTTGTGATGGCTGATACTTTAATGTCCGACTAACGGTCGTCCGACATCGACTGACTGACCAACTGACTTAGCTACTGCTACTACTCCTACTTATTATAGGTGGGAGTGTCTATTAACTATAGAATAGGTGTGTTCCAGTACACACAGATAGATAGATAGATAGATAGATAGATAGATAGATCCAATGACGCGTAAGCTGCTTGACATAGATGAGATAAAATAAATCAAAGTACTGTTGACTGGCGCGGAAACTTTCCTGATTTAAATCCAATCGAGAATCTGTGGTCAATCTGCCCGGAACGGCTTTGCCTACTAAAAGCTAAGCAACGTGTTAAGAAACAGAAACACTTTGTTAGAAACAAAGAAAAGAGTCCTGAACTGTTATGTAATATCATTCCTCCTATATAACAGGGAATGCTGGACAATCTCCTCACAGATGAAGAAGAGACTTGAAGCAAGAGAAACAAAGAAAAGAGTCCTGAACTGTTATGTAATATCAGTCCTCCGATATGGCAGTGAATGCTGAACGATCTTCTCACAGATGAAGAAGAGACTTGAAGCACGAGAAACAAAGAAAATTGTCCTGAACTGTTATGTAATATCATTCCTCCTATATAACAGGGAATGCTGGACAATCTCCTCACAGATGAAGAAGAGACTTGAAGCAAGAGAAACAAAGAAAAGAGTCCTGAACTGTTATGTAATATCAGTCCTCCTATATAACAGGGAATGCTGGCTAATCTCCCCACAGATGAAGAAGAGACTTGAAGCAAGTGAAACAAAGAAAAGAGTACTGAACTGTTATGTAATATCAGGCCTCTGATATGGCAGTGAATGCTGGACAATCTCCTCACAGATGAAGAAGAGACTTGAAGCAATAGAAACAAAGAAAAGAGTCCTGAAGTGTTATGTAATATCAGTCCTCCTATATTAACTATAGAATAGGTGTGTTCCAGTACACACAGATAGATAGATAGATAGATAGATAGATAGATAGATAGATAGATAGATAGATAGATAGATCCAATGACGCATAAGCTGCTTGACATAGATGAGATAAAATAAATCAAAGTACTGTAGACTGGCGCGGAAACTTTCCTGATTTAAATCCAATCGAGAATCTGTGGTCAATCTGCCCGGAACGGCTTTGAGGAATGAACATACGAAGTATTAAGTCATGGATCAAGTTTCATTGGAAAAAATCGAAAAAAATGTAAATATTAACGGAATTATTCGTTTTGTTTCAATTAATTTACACAAGAGTGTATGTGGTCTTGGCCCACCACATCTTCCTTTGCAATTAATTTTCAAAAGGGTGTAGATTAGTTATTTTCGATTGTGTAACTCTCTTCCGGCTTCTTTCTTTCCAGTCAACTTTGATCTTTAAATCTTTAAATGCATTTTCAACCGCGATCGTATTCCATTCTTAATTTTTATTCATTTATTATTCTCACTTAATTATGTGTTCTTTTTTTCTCATATCCTCTGATGCGTCTTAGTGGCTTTATTGTCTTGCTTAAGGTGAAATGATAAAAAAGAAGTAGGTGGTAAGGATTCAAGCCGTATGTTCATTTGTTTTTCAATGGCAAGGCTACGTTATGTTTATCCTTGATTTACCTTGAGGGAACAGTTTTTATATTTGCATAACATGAATCTTGCTTCTTGAGTTCCATTTTTAGAATTCCTTCTTGAATTCTATCATTATTATTGACATTGTTTTAATTCGACCTGATACTCTTTGTCACATGTCTTCAAATAGCTCACGGGCATTTCTAGTTAAAATATATCTAATTATCAACTTGCTTTCCACGTGAGAATTTTCCTCCACTCGGCTGTCATTGATGCTCTGAATTGTAACTGCCCCCGACTCCCTGTTTATATTACCTTACTATTTCTGTAATGTTTTCCACCTTGCGATTTTACAAGTGTGTACTTGATATTTTTATGCACGTGGCAAAAATAGAGAGAGAGCTGACTTAAAGAAAATCGCTTATCTTTTTCTCTTCAAATAGATGTAGGATTTGAATTGGAAACAGTGTGAAACTGTCAAATGTTTCATTGTCTTTCTTTTTCTCCCATGTCCCGGATAGACGAGCAAAACAATTAACGGCTAATTTAGTTATAATAAAACAGAAGGAAAGAGATTCCAATGTAGAATTACTGACCGTTGTCCTTCAAGAAGAAGAAGAAGAAGAAGAAGAAGATTAGAAAGGGGGAGGAAGAGGAGGAGGAGGAAGAAGAAGAAGGTGAGGAAGAGGAAGAAGAAGAAAAAAGGAGGAGAAGGAAAAGAGAAAGAAAAAGAAGAGGAAGAAGAAACACAATAAAAATGAGGAAAATGTGAGGAAGACATAGTGACAAAAAAGGTAAAAGCTACCATAGAAATTAAGAAGTAAAAACAGGTAAACAAAATTCTGTAAAAAAAAAAATGAATGAACGAATGAAAAATTAGGTAAAAGCAAACGATCAGAAGTAGAAAAAAACAATTGATAGATATGAAGAACTTCGATGGATATGAACAGACTGGGATAGATAGATAGATAGATAGATAGATAGATAGATAGATAGATAGATAGATAGATAGATAGTGAACAGACGGAGATAGATAGATAGATCTGAACAGACTGAGATAGATACATAGATATGAATAGACTGAGATAGATAGATAGATAGATAGATAGATAGATATGAACAGACTGGGATAGATAGATAGATAGATAGATAGATAGATAGATAGATAGATCTGAACAGACTGAGATAGATACATAGATATGAACAGACTGAGATAGATAGATAGATAGATAGATAGATAGATAGATAGATAGATAGATAGATAGATATGAAGAAACTTAGATGGATATGAACAGACTGGGATAGATAGATAGATAGATAGATAGATAGATAGATAGATAGATAGACAGATAATGAACAGACTGAGATAGATTCATAGATATGAACAGACTGGGATAGATAGATAGATAGATAGATAGATAGATAGATAGATAGATAGATAGATATTAAAAATGAACCTACGGAATCAGCTAAAAGAATGAATGAATGATTTTAATAAATTTGCGTCTTATGTCTCGTCGTTACGCCGGAAATGAGGGTTCTGTTCAAAGGAATATTACTGGGCTTTTTTCACAACGCTTGCTATTTCTCGACCGCCCACCATGGTGGATCGCACGATGACCACAGAACAAATATGGCCAGAGGGATGTATCCATGGACCAGTGGGAATCGTTTATTTCTAGCGCAGCACGTTTCTCTTTCGCCAGATTCTGTGCTCATGCCACATCATGATCACGTGGGTTTCTCGTGGTTTCACAGGTAATCCCCTGGAATGTCGAATGGCACTCTCGAGGTTTCAGTACTGAAATTAGTTTCTAAATTCAACCGTGTGCCTCTGCTACTCTGACTTGGGTAGTGACATCTACTGCACTGCTTAGAACATCCTTCTTCTTTCATGTGCCGTGTCCCTTCAGGCATAGGCTATCATGGCCATCCACATTGTCCAGTCCCTTGTAGCTCTGAATAAATTTTGCTTTTTGCTATTTCTCCAAAACCCTGTTCTGCTATCCAGTTTTGCTTTCGCCTGGCTTTATTTCCCTCTATCCGACCTGTGAGTATCAGTCTTTCCAAGCCCTTCTTCATCATTACGGGCACAGGAAATTTTAACTGCCACTTTCTATGTTAAATAATTTTTTTTTTCTCTCCAAAACCTCGTCGCTGCTTACAAATCCAGCCCATATTACGGCTCTAATATCTGGCCTTATAATATCGAGTTCCTTAATAATGGTAAAGCTTAAGACCAGTGGTTGAAATTCAAGAGAAAATATCTATCAATCACAGTCTTTTAATTATCTATCTATCTATCTATCTATCTATCTATCTATCTATGTTCCATCAATATCGATCTCCGTTTGAACATTATCTATCTATCTATCTATCTACCTATCTATCTATCTATCTATCTCAGTCTGCTAATTATTTATCTATCGAGTTCCTTAATAATGGTAAAGCTTAAGAACAATGGTTGAAATTCAAGATAAAATATCTATCACAGTCTTTATCTATCTATCTATCTATCTATCTATCTATGTTTCATCAATATCTAAGTTTGAACATTATCTATCTATCTATCTATCTCAGTCTGCTAATTATTTATCTATCGAGTTCCTTAATAATGGTAAAGCTTCAGAACAATGGTTGAAATTCAAGAGAAAATATCTATCACAGTCTTTATCTATCTATCTATCTATCTATCTATCTATCTATCTATCTATGTGTTGAAACCTGAATAATGCATGGAATAATAATGCAACACAAAATGTATTCAGAACAAAATTTATTGAAACAAGAAAGTGTACACAATATTTACATATAGTCTTTTGCATATTCCTGGTAAGACCGTTCCTCGTGAATGTGTTGACTGAGACGCAGTCTGCAGAGTCTCTGGTTGAATCTCTTGATTCCTCCCCTCGTCTTCCCGGTACCAACCATATTTATATGGTCAGTACTCCACTATGCAAATTAGGTGCATCCTACCACAACACTATGTCTCATCAATATCTATGTTTGAACATTATCTATCTATCTATCTATCTATCTATCTATGCCTCATCAATATCTATCTCAGTTTGAACATTATCTATCTATCTATCTATCTATCTATCTATCTATCTCAGTCTGCTAATTATCTATCTATTTCTGATGTTTCTAATCTGAGTCTATACCTTTGTTCCATCTGTCACAATGTCTATGTCTCTTTTGACATTGACAGCTACAGGTTAATATTTTTTTATATATTCACAATTGATATTCCCTCTTCCCGACATTCCTAATAATTAATCCTTAAATCTTTACCACATTTCAACCACTGAATAATAGACTCGCATTCATATTTTACCGTTGACCAACTGATAACATTCCGATAATATTATCACATGTCACCCTCGAGACAATTAGGGAAAATAAACTGTGACTCTGAAATTTTTCACATTGTCAAATCTCTGGTTAATTGTCCGATGAACAGCAGATAATCTATAAAATAGATAATACGTTATGCAGTGGTCTCTTTTTCGTCTAGCTGTATTCCGAAGTTACAGAGATCCGCCGTCAGTTCCGGAAATAAATAATTAATTGTATTTAATGATGGCAAAGTGTAAGAATGATGGCGGAAATTGAAGAGAAAATATCCAAGAGAAAATATAAATGCTTTACTTAAAGCAGTGGTTCTCAAATATTTTAAGCAATGGCACACATAGGAGAAAAATGAAAATATCACGGGATATTTAGCAAAATTTTGTCATGAGTATACATTTAAATGCTATAAAATAAAAGCTTAGATTTAACAAAATATACACGCAAATGTGAACGTAAAATGTTTCTAATCAACTATTTGTGATGATTATTTAGTGTGAAACCCTTGCTTGGAGTTTTTCACGATTTCTTTAATATTTGCCCGAAGTTGCGATAAGCAGACCCTCATTTCTTCTTCAGTTAAGCGTATGCTTTCTCGCTTTTTATTTAAGGTTTTTTTAAGGCTAAGAAGCGTAATTCACATAAATAAGAATTAAAATATTCTCATAAAATTGATAAAGTCTTTTAGGCTAATGTCGGATATTCCTTTTGTATTGAAATCTAGAATCTATCAATGGGTACCGGCGAATGTTTTATTTTGTTTCCGCCATCACTAGAAATTCTTCTACGCATAACTGAAGTCCAGTATTAGAAGGAACATTTGTGAAGGGATTTCAAATCGAATCCGACTTTCGCGGTACACCTAAGTGGATCGGGTGGCACACTAGTGTGCCGCGGGACTTCGGTTAGGAATCAGTGTTTTAGGAATAGACGAACTGTAACAATTACCGTGGAGGCACGGTGGAATAGTGGATAGTGGCTTGGATTGAGAAATCGGAGAGCCGTGTTCGAATTCCAGTCGAATCCATTACTTACCTGCTAATACTCTTGACAAAAGTATGAATCCTCTATGGGTAAATAGCAGGACAGAACGGGTTCTATAGCATTAGATGGCAACTGGTCAACCGCAGAAAGAAATGGCAACCTACTGCAGGAAAAAATCTGCTCGTTAATTGTTATGGGACCTTATCCATAATAACATAATGGACTATTCCATTCGCAATAAATACTGCGCCTCAAGACGGAACACCCTTCCCTATTCCAGTTTCCCTGAGAGCGATAATCTGCAGCTATTCAAATGTAATGTCAATCGACATCTCCAGTTGCCTTGATCTATCCACTACCCTTCTCCTCATCCTTTCTTCTATCACTGCTATCTGATCTTGCTCAAAATTTTCTGTAACGCCTTGCGTCCAAGTGGCTACCCGCCTTGCTTGGGGTGAAACGCTAAAAAAAAGATAAAAAAAAAAAAGCATCTTGATTAACATTATGCCAAGAATTGTTAACAAATTATCGATCTCTGACCAAAGAAATACAGATTAATAAACATAGATGTTCAACATGACACGCCTGCTTTTATTTCAGGTAAACACAAATATGCACGTGTATAGTGTGAGTTTTTAGAATTTGATTTTACTGCCAAAAAATAAGAGGTCACACTATATACAGGTACAATTTTTCTTACCTCCTATACACAATTTATTATAACTGTTGTACCATACCAACGGAAGATAACAAGTATGTCCCCATTCAAATAAATAGAGTAGTAAATACTGTATGTTGGTCTGCAGTCGGAGATTCGTCTCCAGCTGTGCTGGTCAAACTCTCTGCCTCAGAGCAGAGAGGATCCCCGATGAGGCTATGTCGAAGGGTAAAGTCTCATCCCGGGAAAAAGCTACCTGACCTTGTTATGTAATGGGTCTATGGGGAATTTTTCGTCTAGCCTCCGGGCTTGGATATCCCACATTAAATTCGGCCTTGTGCCACATCTGACCGCGTGGGACAGTTCGTAGATATCCTGCAGTCGGAGATTAGTCTGCAGCTGTGCTGGAAAAACTCTCTAACTCCGGGCAGAGACGATCCCCAGACGAGACTATGTCAGATAGCAGAATCTCGTGCCGGGAAACAGCTACCCGACACCGTTTTATACGTGGTTTACGGGGAATTTTTGGCCGAACCTACGGACTCAGATAGGCCACATAAATTCAGCCTTGTACTACATCTGCAGCTGGAGATTCATTGTGAAATTCACTTGACTTAATTCTAGCAGTTGACTGCTAATTCTATGCGCCGCTGGTGAATCTTATATGTGTTGTTCTTGTCCTAAATATTATCAACCTTCGTGTGATTATTCTATGCAGTAACCTTCCCAAACTGAGACATACAACGAGATATGTGAAGTGTTTAAAATTTAGTAAAACTGCACTCTTAAATTTTTGTAATGGACTATGTGTAATGAACTCGGTGTACGTGTTAATCCTTCACTTCTTCTAACTCTAGATCATTGTTTCTGTTTTAGAAAGTTTTACCATAGTTCCTACGTCTTGGAAAACTTGGTAGAGAATGCTGATGTTTTGTTCAAGGTCGTTGTTATCGAAACGACGAATACATATATTGCATTACAGCCATATCACGTTGAAACATAGGTTCCCGTAGGATCACCGAAGTTAAGCAACATCGGGCTTGGTTTGTAGCGAAATGGGTGACAGCATAGGAATATCTCTTGCAGTC